ATGGGGATTGGGGGGATATGATGGTCCCCTTGCCCAGGCCTGAAGCCTGGGTCAGAGGCATCAGGCTTGGGCAGGGGGTGGAGTAAGCGATCAGAGGGAGATGGGGGTCCCCTGCCCAGGACTGACGCCTCTGTTAGAGGCGTCAGGTCTGGGCAAGGGGGAGTTCCTGTGATTGGAGGGTGATGGGGGTCAACGCCTGAGGGCTCCCAGTATGTGAGAGGGAGCAAGCTGGGCTGAGGGACACTCCCCCCGCCCCCCCCACCACCACACACACACACACACACCCAGTGCACAAATTTCGTGCACCGGGCCCCTAGTTACTTTCATAATGCAAAAAGCAAGTGGTGAGTCTGCCAGGGCTGATGTGAAAGCAGCCGAAGAACTTTCGGAAACTCTAGATAAGCTGATTGTAGAGGAAGATTACTTGCCCAAACAAATATTCAATAGAGATGAAACCTCTCTGTTCTGGAGATGGATGCCTGAAAGGATAGGGTAACAGTCTCACCTGCGGGTAATATAGCTTGATACAATTTAAACCCTTAGTGATCTGACACTGTAAGAACCCCAAGGCCTTCAAGAATATCAGATAGCACACACTTCCAGTGTACTACAGGAGCAATGAAAAGTCATGAATGACTCAGCTCTTCCAAGACACCCCCCTGAATTGTTATACCAGCAAAATGGAGAATTACTGTTTAGAGAATATTGTTGATAATGCTCCCAGTCATCCTCCTTGGTGAGCTTCATTACAATTTTAAAGTGGCATTTCTCCCTCCAAACACTATCTCTTTGATTAAACCAAAGGATGAAAGAATTATAGAGCAGCTTTTAAGGCTACTACTTGAAGAGGAACTTTGCCCAAGCTAGTGCTGCAACTGAGGAAGACACTGATGCAATTCTGGAAAAATTACAACTTCTGTGACTGCATTAAGAACCTTTTTTGGTCTTATGGTGATGTCACCAAGGAGTGTATAAGTGCCATCTGAAAGAAGATACTCAAGAGGTCCATTCATGACTTCTGAGGATTTAACAAGGATAAGGAGATTGAAAGTCAGCAAGGCTGTGGTTGAGATGGCAAACAACTTTAATCCAGATGTGAATGAAGATAAGTTGAGGAGTCCTTTGACTAATGAGTTGTTGGAACTGGAACAGGAATGCATCAAAAAATAAGAGGCAAGAGAAAGGAAAACCACAGGAGAAGAAAAAGAACCCCCAAGAAAATTCACAGTGAAGGGTTTAACAGGAGGTTCTTCAGATTTCAACAAGCTCTTTAAAAAGTTTAAAAACATGGGCTCTATCATCAGAAAGTTTGCATTATTAGAGAGTAATGTCTACAGTGCATTATATGCTTGCTAGCAAATCTATGAAGAAGAAGGAGAAGGAGAAGGAGAAGGAGAAGGAGAAGGAGAAGGAG